GTTGTGATTTCTCCCTTTCATTTTATGATCCTGTGTATTTGTGCTTTCTCCCTTTTTTCCTTTGTGAGCCTGGCTAGGGTTTGTCTATTTTATTTATTTTTTCAAAGAACCAGCTCTTGGTTTCATTGATCTTTTGGATTTTTTTAGTTTCAATTTCATTTATTTCTGCTTTGGTTTTTATTATTTCTTTTCTTCTACTGGATTTGGGGTTTTTTTGTTGTTCTTTTTCTAGATCTTTGAGCTTCGAGATTAGGTTGTTTCTTTGAGTTCTTTCTTGTTTTTTGATGTGAGCTTCTATTGCTATATATTTCCCTCTTATTACTTTTGCTGCATCCCATACATTTAGGATATTGGTGTCCTCCTTGTCATTCAATTCAAAGAATTTTTTAATTTCTTCTTTGATCTCCTCATTAGTCCAGTGGTCTTCCAGTAGTGTGGCTTTTAATCTCCATGAGGTAGGATAGTTCCTTGCCTTCTTTTTATGATTTATTTCTAGTTTGATGCCTTCGTGGTCAGAAAAGATGGTTGGTATGATTTCAATCTTGGTGTATCTGTTGATGCTGTCTTGTGCCCCAGTATGTGAATCGATCCTGGAGAATGATCCGTGTGCGCTTGAGAAAAATGTGTACTCCGTTTTTTTTGGGTTTAGTGTTCTATAGATGTCTGTTAAGCCCAAATGCTCTAGGTCCTTATTTAGAGCTTTAGTTCTTTACTTATTTTTTGTCTTGTTGATCTATCCATTGTTGATAGTGGTGTTTGAAGTCTCCCACTACGTAGTGTTTTCTCTGATGTCTGTTTTCAGAGAGGACAACAGTTGTCTGATATATTTTGGTGCTCTTTCGTTTGGTGAGTATATGTTAATGAGTGTTATTTCTTCTTGAAGTATTGTCCCCTTAATCATAATGTAGTGACCATTGGTCTCTTTTTATTTTTTTGAGTTTGAAGTCTGTTTTTATCTGATATAAGTATAGCTGTTCCTGCTTTCTTTTTTGGCCCATTTGCTTGTAGGATTGTTTTCCATCCTTTGACTTTGAGCCTATTTTTATCTTTTGTAGCTAAATGTGTTTCCTGGAGACAGCAAAAGTTGGGTTTTTGTTTCTTAATCCAGGCTGCAACTCTGTGTCTTTTTATTGAAGAGTTTAGTCCATTTACATTTAGAGTTAATATTGATATGTTAGCATCTGTATTTGCCATTATGTTTGTCTTTCCTTTGATTTTATTTATTCTTTTAATAACTTTTTTTTTTTTTTGGTCTTCTTTCGTTTTATTCGTCCCTCTGAGGTTCTGGCTTTACGATTCCTTGTAGTATTTTTGGAGTGGGGTTTATTCGTAATGAAATTCCGGAGTTTCTCTTTGTCTGGGAAGGTCCATATTCTTTCTTCATGGAGGAAGAGAAGCTTTGCGGGATAGAGTATTCTTGGTTGCCATCTGTTTTCTTGGAGTCTGTTGACTATGTCCCTCCACTCTCTCCTTGCCCGTAGTGTTTCTTCAGAGAAGTCTGATGTCAGCCTGATTGGTTTCCTTTGAATGTTATCTGTTTTCTTCCCTCTTGTCAGCTTCATTATTTTTTCCTTGTCCTGGATTCTTGGGAGCTTTACTATTATGTGTCTTGCTGTTTTTTCCTTTCATCGTGGAAGTTTGGTGTTCTTCTTGCTTCTTGTATATCAATTTTCAGCTCCTTCTTCGCATTTGGGAAGTTCTCTTCAATTATCTCCTGGAATATTTTCTCTGTTCCTACATCTCTCTCCTCTCCTTCTGGAATTCCTATAACTCTTATATTTCCTTTCCTCATGGAGTCAGATAGTTCCGAAGTCTTTCTTCATTCTTTTTCCTTCGTACTTCTCTTTCCTTTTCTGTTTTTGGTTCTTTTATTTCTGTGTCTTCAAGAGAACTTATTCGTTCTTCCATTTCATCTATTCTGCTTTCCTTGCTTTTCCGGAGTTCTTTAGTTCCTCCATTAATTCTTTGATCTCCTGCATTTCTTTTACTTCCCTCTTTAGGGACTCAATTTCATTCTCTGACCATTGTTTTCCCTCTTTAGGGATCAATTTCCTTCTTCTGATCTATCACTTTTTTAATCATGGCAATTTAAATTCTCTTTCTGGAAGGCTCAGAAGTTCTTCCAAGTTGCTGTCGTTGCAATCTGGGGAGTGGTTTTCTTTTTGTGGTGTGCTTCTTTCCTGAGGAGTTGTTAGGTTGCGTGTGGTTCTTCTACTCCCTACTGTCTGTTTTCTAATTTGTCGTATGCGTTGGGACACTGTGATGCTCGGACTGACTGGCATCTTGGGTGAAATTCTTCCGCTCCCCTCTGGCTCTTCCAGGAGCCATCTCTGTCTTCTGGGGAGCTTTCTGCTGGTTTTAGGCAGTTTTTACTGAAGAAATGTCTCTGTTCTCAAATGGCGAAGCGGGATGCAGTCCCTGCGCCTCCGGTTTCAGGCACACTCTTCTGCGCCCCGGTCTGCCCGGACGTGGGTGCCTGCTCCCTCTGTGGGCTCAGACTGCTGTCGGAAGGGGCCTGGCGTGGAATAACTTCCCGGCTGGCCACTGCAGAAGCCTTCTGCCCTTTTCAAGCAGTCTTAAGAAATTTCCTGTTCTATGGGGTGTTAGTGACTTTTTTTCCTGGTCGCTAGGTGGCGCCAGAGATCTCTCCTATTGTCCTTGGGGGGCTGTTTTTCGCCCCCCCCACCCGTGGGACAGGAACAGAGCGGGAATGGTAGGGTACACCTCAACAGCTTTGGGGTGCTGTGTCTGCCTTGTGCCCCACCGTCGTGGGAGAACCCACGCCCCGAATTTTCGTGCCCCGGGTCTCAGTTCAAAGCCCTCAGTTCCCAGGACGCGGGCTGTAGCCCAGTTCAGTGGCGCGGGAATGGCGCCTTTTGCACCGCTCCCGTGCCGGGTGCCTGGTTCCTGCTCACTCAGGGAGGGACCTTCACCTCAGTGAGGACCTCCGCGCGTCTCCCCGCAAGCCTAGGTCGTCTCCCCGCAAGCCAGGTCGCAGGTGCGGGGACCTGGGCAGCTGCGATTCCGGTCTGCACTTGCTTTTCAAGCTCCCGAGCGCGCCGCGTTTCCGCGCAGCTTACCGGCAGCCCGGGCTGTGTGCGCGTCTCCCGGGGTCTTTGTTCTTCTCTAATGGCGCCCGGACCGTTCGCTCGCCCTTGCGGCGAATCCTGCAGGGTTCGCCTCAGCTCCCGTTCACGGGTGTGGTTGGCTGCAATAGTTCCTTTCCACTCACGGCCGCTTGCTGCGTCGTTTGTTCTTGTTGGTTGTTTTGGTTTGTTGTTTTCTCCCTCTCTGCCGGTCGGAGAGTGCCGCCTCTGTGGGCGGGAGAGGGAGCAGGGTTCTGCGCTTCCCTCCCTTCTATCCTCTCTTTATGGCCAGTTTCTTCTTCTTCGGCAGTTCGCTGGCATCACCCGTTTTATCTTCCGTGTCCCAGTTCTCACTGGGACCTGCCGCTTTTCCTCCCTATTAACTTTTTTTAATGGAGATCTTACTCGCAGCGTCTCCTCGT